TTCCGTAATATCCCAAAATTGAACATTTTAAATTTATTTGCAATAGAAGCAATATTATAAGACAAACCCTTGTTAAGCGATTTTTTTGGAATAGTCAGAATATTCCTTCTTAAATTTAAGCGATGAACGTTTGTACTATATACAAGTCGATCATTAAGTTTAATAATTTTAAAGATAAGCGGACCATAAACAGTATCGTAACATTAAGTGGAACAAAGTTAATGAGTCACAAAGTAAACATTTCGTTTTACTAATAAGGAAATGTCTGTGGCCTGTACGGTAAATTTCAATTTGTCACATATTTTGTTTCGATTTTTCAAAAGGAATATTCTGACCACCAAAGTTTTCCAATAGTTCCGCTGCAAAACAGAATTGCGACGGACTGGGATCTGAAGAAGCTGTTAATAGACGTTGGAGATGCTATTAATATTCTTTCGAACTTCCTTGGATCAATTGAATGATATATTTGGGAGTTACCATCAAAGATTTAATAATATTGGATGTATATAAAGTATTCGGAATAATAAATACCCTGCAATACATATTGTGTTATTATTAGACGCCAGATGTACTAACTAGACATGTAGATTGTAATTGGTGTTTTTTTTCGATGTGTAGAAGTTTAAGTTGGCATTACTGTTCAAGATGGCGACCAATTTAACAGCTGTCAAGTGATTTATTCTCAGTTGGGTTTGGCAATTCATCATGAATAGACTCACGCCTGAACAACGCTTGCAAATAGTTCAATTTTATTTCGAAAATAATGGTTCTGTGCGGAATACGTATCGCGCACTACATTGAGGAAGACCCGAATGAGTCCATCCGCCATCGAGCACAGGAATTGGATCTGTGTCCATCCACTTTATGGAAGATTTTGCGGAAGGATCTTGGTTTACGTGCTTACAAAATCCAACTCGTGCAAGAATTGAAGCCAAACGATCAAGTACGGCGTAGATTCGTCAAATGGGCCCAAAACGAGATTGCCGTTGTTCCTGATTTTCATAAGCGAATTTTGTTTAGCGATGAAGCGCACTTCTGGTTGAATGGCTACGTCAACAAACAAAACTGCCGCATTTGGAACGAAGCTAATCGTCAAGTGTATGTCGAAACACCGTTACATCCAGAAAAACTGACTGTTTGGTGCGCTTTATGGGCTGGTGGAATCATTGGTCCGTACTTCCTCAAAAACGATGACGGCCAGAACATTACAGTCAATGGTGATCGGTATAGAGCTATATTACAAAATCTTTCATTCCTGAATTGAATAACGATGATGTCCAGGAGATGTGGTTTCAACAAGACGGCGCAACATGTCACACAGCCGCAATCGATTTATTGAAAGACACGTTTGGTGACCGCCTAATTTCACGTTTTGGACCTGTGAATTGGCCTCCAAGATCTTGTGATTTAACACCACTAGACTACTTTCTGTGAGGCTCTGTAAAGTCATTGGTCTATGCGGATAAGCCACAAACGCTTGGCGATTTGGAAGACAACATTCGCCGTGTTATTGCCGATATACGGCCACAAATGTTGGCAAAAGTCATCGAAAATTGGACTTCCAGATTGGACTACATCCGCGCCAGCCGTGGCGGTCATATGCCAGAAATCATATTTAAAATGTAATGCCACAAGATTATCTTTCAGATAAATAAAATTCATGTCAATCGAATAATCCATCGTTGTTTTATTGCAACTTAAAGTTCTATACATCGAAAAAAAAACACCCCTTACAAAGAAAACTTGCGCCAAAAATCGATTTTTAAATCTGCAAACTGTTTGTCCGAAACGAGACCACGAATAACAAATTTGCAGATCATTTTGTTGGGCGCTTTAGTTAGTCCCCAGCTTAAGTACTCGAGCGACGGGTCACCTTATTGCCTCGCGAGAACAAAGGGTTGAAAACGGATTCCGCGTCGGCGAAATAATCTCGTATCCGATGAATCTGTCAAGGTAAATCCGATTTGACGAGCAGCTGCACCAGAAAATGACACGAAGCAAAGGGGGGATTGTATTCATATGCTAAATACCTTGTCTTACAACGTGACGAGTTACTGTGTGTGTATGTAGCGAATGAGTTTAAACTTTGGCGAGAAACCTGCGGGAATATGAATCCCAATAATGATGGGATCCCGTCGTGACGCGTAGACGAGCAAAGGAATGGCCTGACGTTTCGACTCGATTTAATTAAAATCTTACGACACGGTCGGAGTTTGGGTATAACCTTTAAAAATATGCCAAATTAGCACTTGCTTGTGCGTTTTTTTATTATGAGATAATATTTAAGGAACTTCGCGATTATCAATATTGGACTGTGCAATTACAATTTGAAGAATAGGAAACTTAATCAAAAGTTTAATTTGAAAACTATGTCATATAAAAGCAAGTTTATACTATTAAAAGAAAAGTTGTTCACAAAAAAAAATTAATTTCGTAGTTCTATGTAACAAATATGAGCAACTAAAAATTGTATAATTTACATCCTCTTTGAAACGCGCTGTCATTGGCTGTGACTGGTCGTGACGTCAATTCGCTCGTTAGACTACGTGCCAGCCCGACGGTGGCATAGAGAAGCCATTAGAGAATAACAACGCGTTGGTCTTGGTGGTTTGAATGTTAATTTTAGTCTTGATCTTGTAGCTTTTGTTATCTTGCGTTTACTATCTAAAAGAAAGTTTTCAAAATGACCGAAGCAGATTTTTGAAAAGGTCAATATGACAAATTATCTTTAGTGGATATGTTTATGGTGACATCTTATGTACAAAACACCGAAAGTTTTTCTTTTGCTGAGGTTCGCGGCGTTAAAGCTAATAGGTATGTTCATAGAAAATGTAGCCACTAGTTTTAAACCAATATAACATTGTCATCAGCTTAAAGTTTCGTAGTTTTTATTTTTAATGTTAGTCTTGATTATGTTGCTTGCTTTTGTTATCTTGTGTTTAGTATCACAAAGAAAGTGTTGAAAATCACCGAAGCGATTTATAAAAACGTCAATCTGATAATTGAACTTTATTGGATATGTTTATAGTGACATCTTACATATTGGCATTGATAAGTTAAAGTGTTCTTTATTGTATTTAGATCGGGAAGCCATTCCTATGGAGACTGCAATATGATGGGTGCAAGTTCGAAGAGCTAAAAATGTTTGCATGTTTAAGGCAAAGTGACACCTGAACGTGTTAACAAAAAACAAAATTTTTATTTTCTGGTAGACGAAAAAAAAATTTATCTGGCGTTTTACAGGTTGTACTCAACCACGATGGCTCGATTTGTAATATTGTTTTTGCGTTGCTTCCATTATTATCATGTAAAGCACACTAAGCAGAAATACAAATTGTCGGAAATTAATTACAAACACACCTTTACACAAGTCAAAAATAAACGTAAATAATATAATTCTCGGCCTATAACTTGAGAATAATACTACAGCATGTCGCCGATCGAGAAGCAGCGGTATGACGTCACGATCATTAGCGCGCGTTTAGTGTCTTTTAAAAGGATTAGCCGAGTGTCACAACTTGAATTATATATTGCAACTTAAACATTGGGTTTTGAGTGTTGATATCTGGTACGCGTTATTTCTATACATAAACAAATGTATTAATGAAATACAAAAATGTTCAAGTTCCCTGTTGGAAATGAACACGAACTCTGTTAACGAGTTTGCAATAATTGAAAATTACACCATTCTGCACACACAACACTTAATATTATAGATTAGCCCGCTAATTCCTCCGATTTGAAGACCCGCGTTATTTTTCGAATGAGGATATTTGAATGAACAAGTCCACGTCCAACATTGGAACAATATAAATTGTACATTGTAATTTTGTTATTTATCATTAACCTTTTTCAGTGAAACGTGGTCTTGTAGCAGGTTCTTTTCCTGGTCGATGCAAAATATTAAAAAAAGTGGTCAATGGTTTCAATTCGAAGATGTCTCCGCAGCTTACTAAGCTACCATCAGCGTTGGCTATTTCTCGAGTTGTATATAAAGGCTTATAAAAGATTTGACATTTAAAAAAATTTGCCAAAATTTTCGTTGCCATTTCGCGTATTTAGTAGTGTAAGATGGTTGTGACAATCCTCTACGATTGTATATAAAAAGTATTCCGAATTTGGAAAAAAAAATTAAATCAGTTCACAGCAAATTCTGGTAATTATTTTCTAGTTGAGGAGGGGGCGGAATTGCTATATTGATTAATACCAAATTTTCTAGTATTTACCGCAGTTGGAGTCCTGTTTTAAAACTGAAAAAAAAACTGTTTTATTTAATGCTTTCGCTAAGAGTGATGTTCGGACACTTTGGGAAACAAAAGTACAAAAAATAAACATTTTCTAAAAAAATAAATGCAAGGATTATGCGTTTTGCGGCATTATTCTAACCTAAAATATTAATAAAAGAACTCAAAAAACTTGGATTTCGTTAAGCATTTTCACTTTACGGTTGGTTATTCATGTCCAATTTTCCAACGTTTACCAAATGAAACGTTTATTTATTATTTGGGATCGTTGGGATCGGAATAAAATTTCATTGTTTAACTTTTTTACCGTATAACTCCGTTAGCTCCGGGTTAAGATTAGCCCTAGATAAGCGTCTCTCCGAAGTTAACCTTGTATTGATAAACCGACCCTGGCTGGTGAGTTTTGCAAGTTACGCAAACGTAGGCGCTCATTGGTGTGACGTAATGGAGCACAATAAACAAAAATGAAAGCAAACAGAGGTCCCGCATAACAGGGTCGCAAAGTTCGCTTTGTTTTATACGAGCGCAGATAAAGCGGGACCGCCAACTCGCGGGATTTCATACCCGTTTAAACACGGCAACACGGACATCGATGCTTATCGCGGCCTTTTTTGCCTGCCACATCAGAAATATGGCGCCGTAAAAAAATCCAGCTCGCCACGCATCATGTTGACCACACGGTTTGAGTTTTTCGCGATAATGGTTGGATATGTGGGGTAATTACGAGTCTAATAGACCTGTATCTTTTGGTTTCAGATTGAGAAACTCTTCCAAGATCATATAGGAAAATACAGACTGGATAGCACCGATGTAAGTATTGTTAGTTTGATCCAATACGTTATTTACTACACTTGTGGTTGCTGAATTTTCACCAAACCGTCGGAATTCTGGCAACGCAGGCGTCTCCTACTCTTGCCACTTTAATCGCTTGACAAAGAAGAATCCTGTAACAATTGGCTTGATGAAAGCGATTCTGCACCTCAGAGTTGATTGACTGAATTGCCTACTATACTATCTAGTATTTTAAGGATACCAAATCCATTGATCAGTCAGCAGTCTAGACCGATATTTTTATATTTTGTATTGTGTTTTACAACAATTATGGTTTGCGATCGAACTCTGGTACTGGCTGAACTACCGACGAAAACTCCCGTATCTCGAGATCTGACTTGTCTTCGGACCTCCTGGATCCAGCTTGTCATTTTAACTCTGGACTAGACCTCCGTCTAGGATGCCAATAAATATGCCATTTACCAAGTAATAATACTCACATCTCTGTAAAGCAAAGTATGATGAACAGCCCAGATTATTCCTATTTAGAAGCAACAAGGAGCCGAAGACATAATACGTGACCGAAATTAGAATATCCAGCAAATGTAAATTTCTGTTATTAATATTTTGGGAAGCAGTTGGATAAATTATCCGTAGCGTCAACATTCTCAACAAAACTTATTGAAAGGAATTCTTAAAAATTCAATAGCCAGTTGCTGCTTCACGTAAGTTTCTGCGAATCACATGGTAGGTCTGGTAGGTTTTCCCAGAATAATTGTATCTCATGGTGTAGTTGCTGTACTTCCAGTATAAGACGTTACAACCGACTCAATCTTCTGCCTATCATATCTCCTTGCAACCCACGGAGGGAGTTTCTTATAACTGCACCGGTATGGCTGAGAGCCACCCGATTGGATGTAATACGTTATTAATGAAGGATTGAGCGTTCATATTTCTGTCCAAAAAAACAGAGGTGATCTGCTTCTAACTGTTATGTCACTCCACGTTATCCCTAGTAAGCGCCTTTCTCCTTATCTTCGGCAGATTCCTCTACGACCATAGCTTACAAACAAAAACAGGACTAGTCACTGAAATTCCACTCCTGATTCAAGTGTGCTCATTATTGCCACTATGCTTATGTCTATTGACTAATGAATACCAACCGATAATGATATGACTATAGTCCATAAGCTCCAATTTTTAGATAAATCTGTGGCAACCCTCGACTCATGCCTGTAACTGTATTTATTAATTCATTTATTCAGAATAGGAGTCATTACTGCCCATCTGGTTCGCCGCGAATTACGATATAATAAATAAAGCCTTTTTAAAATTCGCAACTCGAATAAAGTAAACTATTTAAGAAAAACGTAAATCACAAAACTAGCTATTCAGGAACAATACAGTTACTTACAAGCAATCTTAAGTGACATTATTGTAAATCAAAATCGAAATATTCTCTTAAGGAGTACTCAGTACTCAGTACCTTAGAAAAGCAGATATGTACTTAAAACCCCTCTTTTTGGGACAAATGTAGATTATAATAAAAACCTGCATTTTTATAACTTAGCAGACTGAAATATACATTATCACTGCAGATGACTACTTAAAAATCCACTTTCTTGGATTGATAGTAGATTCTTCTTCCTTTATTCAAACAGATTCCAGTCAAAATCGGCACCTCCAATGCATATCGAACCTGAAACCGCATAAGAACTGCAGATATCAGCCCAAACTATCATTTTTTGATCCAAACAGTTACCTTTTGTTGTCAATATGTTTCAAATACTAGTCAAAATTGGCATCTTCGGGCATTAGAGTAACGCAAACCTTTATAAACAATTAGATATCGATGTAAAACCCCCTCTCTGAGTCAAATAGTTGCCGATTTCGATAAGATCCCAGTCAGAATCTGCTTTTTCGCCTCTTATTGCACGGAAATCTAACTTAGAAATGCAGATATGTACTGAAAACCCCTCCTTTTGGTACAAATAATAGGTTTTCGCGCTTGATTTATAGCAGATTATTGCCAAAACAGGCTTTTTCATAACATACCGGGAAGAAATCGACATTAAAATTGAAGATGACTACTTAAAAGCCCACTTTCTTGGATTGATGGTATGTTTTTCTTCCTCAAACGGTAATTAAGCAATATGGTTTTGTTTTATATGAAACAAATTGATTATTTTCAATGACAAGTAAGCTGGTTAAAAATAGGCGGCACATAGGAACTATTAGTTGAAAGGACCACAGCTACCCCAAAGCCGGAGGCCTTAAGCGAAATTCCGATCCTTAACACCAACTTCTATCAATGTTTGGGCGTTCTTCTGAGAGAAAACCCAAGCCTTAGCCAAGAAAATAGAAGTAACTGTCATGATGAAACAAATAGTTCTAATCCTTCCATCAGCGCTTCACTTACTGGAAAAAAAGATCTCATATCATTAAATTTAGCCTGAGTGAGCCACTCAACACACTAACCTTTTTCATCTTTGGATATAAGCCTCTCCACTCGTCTCTGTCCTCTATTTCTTTTATTTTCCCAATTTCCCAATTTAAAATACCTTTGTTCCATCTGTTGCCTTTTTGTCTGATGTTATGGCCGGCCAATTTCGATTTTGACTCCTCTTCTTCTTTTTACTTTCGTTACATATCTTATCCGCTCATTTATTTTTCTATCTATGACTTTATATTTTGGGAACCGGAGATGATGATGATTACTTGAGTTTTCAGGTATGGTGGCTAATACTTCCTTAAGTTTAACAATTGTTGCCAAACGTACTCATTCGTCAACTTCTATTTTTAATGTTTTTTCTACTTTGTTTTTTGATTAAGGTTTTTAATTTCGCTAATTTAAAGAAAATATGATTGCACCTTGAAACATTTTTTAAAGAACCCCTGACTTTTCCAATCTACTATTAATATACAATGTATTTGTATAACAGAAGCACCTATCGAAAAGCCGTCAGAAACATCGCAAAACGAAACGGGAGCACCTTTTCGCAGCCATCGGGCAAAAAGCGCCGCCAAAGAAAATTATTAAATTGACAAAGTCAGATCGCGTTCCCCGAAGCTTTATTTGCCGCCATCAGTCGGTTCCTACTTGTTTGAAGTTCGCCGTATTAAAACTAAATTGCATCCGCTCCGAGCACATCGGGATCGCCTAGGTTTTATAATTGACTTCGTCGTCTTAAGACGACGACGACGACGTGCGGTTATCCAGCTCTTTATTTTTCAGAAGCAAATATCGCAAATCGACGTTGCGTGATGTCATTTGGCGGCACGGAAGACGCGAGTCCCGCGGATTTATTAGTTTTTTGAGTCGACGTTCTTTACCGTTTGACGGAGACGCACGCCGCTGGTGCTTTACGGTTTTCGATTAAGGTTGATTTTTATTATAAATAGTTGGGTTGACGCCGCTCCCGATAGGGGACATCCATAATTGTAAAATCATAAATTAAAATGAAATGATATGTGAACTCTCCGCAAGCTACTAAAAATTTTATACACCTAACACGTGTTCAATGAGCAAGTTTTGAGAAAAGCGGGCAAGACTGAAAGCATTTATTTCTTTCTTCTTACCTCTTTAGTGTAGGCAATTGCCTGTTTTTTCTTCGTCCCCTACTCCCTGTCTAGCTCGATCCCTTTCGAGGTCGCCTCATACTTCTACGATCTATGGGATTGATCGTTCCATTCCACTTTCGTTTTAATATTCGGTATTTTGTTATCCGCTTTACACGTTTGTTAAATCTTTTTCACTAACTCACGCTTTTTTGGTTAGTTTGGTGCTTTTCTTTAAATCGATCTTAATTTATGATTTTGATTGCCTTCTTCTTTCTTTCTGGGAAGATAAATCAGTCGTTACTTACAGATACTGCTTTTTCTGCTACTGATTTTATCTTGCGAATGTTTTCCGTGGTTTTAAAAATAATAACAAAAAAAGGAAACTCATCGACGGTAAGAGTTGGGCGCCGATCAAACCTGGTTGGTAGCCTCTGCTGCTGATGTAAGTGGCCAGTGATAGAATCGTCGTTAATAACTGGGACGAGACGACCTCTGGAAAAATATTCAATTGTCCAGAACAGTCTCGGTCGCTACGGTTCCTGTAGGAGGTAGAGGTCCTGCAGGTGGAGTCGTCTATTACTTCTGTTGTTTTCATCATCGCAATTTTGTTGGTTAGACGTTGGTCTTAAATCGACCCATGTGTGTTCTAGTGTTCCTGTTGTCTTCTTGGTTTGCTGGGTATAGTAAATTAACCCTTGCTTTAGGATACCTTTGGTTGCCTTTTTTTAATTAGTTTTAGTAAGAGTCTACTTGGGTCTTTTTATAAATATACAGGCCCTTTTCCTAATCCTCATCACCAAATCCCATTTGGGAAGGCAAAAGTTGGGGGGTGACCACTGGGTGGCACTACTGCTTTTTGTCTCAACCCCTCTCGGCAAGAGATGCAGCAAAAAAAGCAGTGTCGGTAATTAACGACCGATGTATCTTCCCAAAGAGAAAGAAAAATTCAATCAAAATCATCAATTAAGATTGATTTAAAGGAAACTACCTGATTTTTGCTCATTTTGCTCTCTGTTCCACAACGTTTTCCCAGCGATATTCCATAATACTTTGGTTTCTGTTGTCTCCATCATCTGCTTAGTATTTGTCTAGTCCTGTTTCTGCTGTGATAACTGTTACATCTAGTAAATCGTAATCTTTAAGACCGAAAAATATACAGAGTGCTTTAAAAAGACAATTATCATGGTAATCCACAAATCTTGAGATAAAAAAATAATAAAAAATATAGGTCTATAGCTCTATAGTAACTTGTTAAAAATAATTGAAAAATGTATTAAATTATGCCTAACCGAATGTCTCGATATTTTACATCACCAGTATGCCGTTGCTTGACTCAATTATCTTTAATATCTAAAAGTGGTCTTATAATTTTGAAGAAGTATCAGTCAAATAAATAAAATCCGTCAGATCAAGGAGGAAAAATGGTTGAAATAGACTTGAATATTTTTGGTTGGTGCAGCTCACTTTTGACTAGAGAA